AGATGTCTCGTTTTAATCAGAAATGTATGCGCTGCAATCATGCCTCATTAAGAAAGATTTTGGTTCTTTTTAGAGTTTCTGAAAAACTAGTTTTTCAGAAAACCGGGTCTTCAGAAGCCATGAACACGAATCCTTTTAGGGTTTTTACTAGCTCGATATACTCTAACGATTGAGATATAACTCATTAGAAAAGGAGGGTATCACCTCAGGCGGTTCCCTCGTAAGTGATTGATTGCAGAGAAATCTTTTTTTCTTACTCACCTGTTGAACACCAATCAACAAACTGAATTTTTTTCTTTTGTTTGTCTAATGCTTGTTGAACTTCTTTTGAAATAATATCACCACGATAGAGTACGCAGCATGACATATATTTTCCATTGTTCTTATTACATTTAACCATTGACGATTCTTGACCAAACACACTTTGAGTTATTTCTGATACAGATATATTTTCATGATACGAACGTTCTTCGGATACAATGGGAGCATACGATGATAGTGGAAAATGAATTCGAGGAAATGGAACTAGAGAACAACTGCATTCTTATTATTAACCATAGTTTAAAAATCGTTTCTGTTAATGTTTTACAATACTGTTAACATGTGACATACCTAAATTTGTTTGAAATTCATTTAAATCGACATTGAGACTTCCTGGAAATCTTAACGATGCAGTAATAGAACTGACCACTTGTGAAATTAGACGATTTAAATTATGATAGTACGGTCGTTCGATATTCAATGATTTTTGACAAATATCATAAATCGCTTGATTATCAACAATAAATGAACAATCGGTATGTTCTAACGTTGTATGTGTTGTTAAAAGAGTATTGTATGGTTCAACGACAGCCTAAAGAGAACAGAAAATATATTTATACCAAGTGTACTCAGTCATGTTCTATGTAACCACCGTTGCTATTTGAGGGGACGGATAAACTGAAAACTCTAATTTGCATTTTTTACCATAATCTTCATGCAAACGTTCCATTAGTAATGAATGAAAACCGGAACCAGTACCACCTCCGAATGAACGTAAGCTCAGAAATCCCTGAAAAATATCAGACGAAGATTGATGGTATATTTCAATAACTTTTATCAAACCTGAAGTTTATCACAATTTTCTGCTAGTTTTCGAATATGATTAATAACATGATCTACTTTTTCTTTACCAACTGTATAATGACCTCTAGCATAATTGTTCGCTGAGTCTTCCTTTCCAGTTATCATTTGTTCAGGATGAAACAGACATTTGTATGGACCATTACGAATTTCGTCTATAAAATGAATGGTAGACTACCCTATCTTTTGGAAAAATAAAAAAATTTCTTACCAATAACAGTTGGTTCTAAATCGATAAACAAAGCTCGTGGTACAAAACGATCAAATGATGTCCGTGTAAAAAACGTGTCAAAACACATATTTTTTTCATTATTACGATTTTCTTTTGATTCAAGAATACCATCTGGTGCTAAACCATGTTCGAGACAATATAATTCCCAGCAAGCATTACCAGATTGTACACCTGCTTGACCAATATGAAGGGAAATAACTTCACGCTAAAATGAAAGATTAAAAACCTCACGCTTGAGGTACCGTTTTATCTAATAATATTCAAGAGTGATTTAGTAACATTCTCAGTTATGACTCACAACACTAAAAAACTTATTGAAGGTAAAATCAAATCTCATGTTTTCAATAGAAAATGTATCTGTTATTTTCTGACAGTATACGCTTACCATTGTTAAAAAGCGTTTGAGTTTAATATGCACAACTTGCTTCGACTATTACACACCGTTAATCTCTACTTTTTTGAGATAAGTGATGACCAACTGTTATTCTATTGTTCATTCTGTTTGTGAGAACAAAATACTTGAACATTAGATATTCCAGTGTGCTATTATCATTCTTATTCTTTTTTTTCTTTCCGTTAGTAAATATTCTATAAAACACTCGTTCATAAATCAACAAAATTAGGTCGATCGATGGTTAAATAGATACATCTGATCTCAATCTGTCTATACATTAAATAGATATATCCTACATAATTATTTACGCCTACACATATGGTTTCAATCCTTTATTCTTTCGTTCTTTCTTCGCCTAGATCGTGTTAATACCCATCGATCAAATGTTGAACTATAGAAATCAATTGTTTGAAAGGCACTAATAATCAAAATTACGTCTGAAACGAAACTTTGAACGTTTGAAACTACACCGAATGATAGGATTTAATGGTTGGTGAAGTGGGAGACATCTAGTAAATAAGACTTTCTTTTTCGAAAAAGACATATCTTTGTATATACCTGATCACTGTTGTATGTTATATGGATTCTTTTGTCTGATGTGATATCTTTCTTTCTTCTGACAATGCAATATGATTGAGCATAATTACCTCATTTGCGATTATTATAGTTATTAGACAAGAAATGCTTGAATGAATATCCTTTTCAGTACGTTCAGGGCTGACTCAAGTAACCATATGATGCCGAGGACTTAAGAAATGCGTCTGAAAAAATGCGTACTGAAAAGGATATTTATTCAAGCATTTCTTGTCTACTAATCATAATAACCTCAAATGAGGTAATTATGCTCAATCAGAAAGGACTCACCGGAAAGAAAAAAAAGAATAAGAATGATAATAGCACACTGGAATATCTAATGTTAAAGTATTTTTTTATCACAAACAGAATGAACAAT